CTAAACCCTAAACCCTATTACAGGATCTTGTATGAAAAAGCTTGGACGGTCGGACCTGCGAAGCAAATCCAGGAGCTTCAACCTCGCCGCCTTCATGTTTTTCATTTTGAAAGCTTCAAAGATAGACCTGGTCAGTTAGGGTTTAGGGGTTAGGGTTTCGGGTTTAGGGGAACTTCGGGAAACCTCAAACGCTCAGCTGGAAGCCAAGTCCTTCATCCCGAACCCTCGGCCCTAAACCCCAAGCCATGGGAGCCTAACTGCCTGCTCTACGCAGCGACAACAAAGATTTTTCTGGTGGCAAAGCCCCAGTGCATGGAACTAGAACCGCCGCACTTCTGAAAGTTTGTGGCATCCCATATGTTGCTATTTCTAGCTGCGTGCATGTATTCTCTTGCTGTTGTTGGATCAGCTCTTCAGGAATCCGCCTCTTCACTTCTTTATTCATTTTGATTCGTTTGGTTTTAATACAAGCCCGAAACCCCAAGCCATCTCGCCCCTTGGTGTGCCATACAATCGCTCGGACACCTGGTCTCCCCAGTCCAGCCACAGTTTCATAAAGCAACAAAGCCCCAACAGAGCATGGTAGTGTACGGGCCTTGCTAATTAGAACAGGGTTTGGGGGGGGGGGGGGTATAATTCTAGTAGAATTTCCCCCAAACCCCTAAACCCTAAACCCTATAATTAAGGCCCCCATATTACACTACAGCATTGTCGCTGCGTGGTTTAGATCAGGGCCACTGCGGTAGCTTGTCACTGTAAGGCCTGGTTTTTAGGGTTTACGGTTTAGGGTTTAGGGTTAGATGCAAACATGCACTCTACCCTCGACGATTTGAGATCCCTGAACCGCTAAACCCTAAACCCCTAAACCCGTTAGAGGCCCAAAAAACCCGCATGCCCTGTAAGGGCAGCGCTGTACGCTCCCCTGGAGTTGAAGCCGCATTGAACAAAATCCAAGATCAGAGGTACGATTTGCGATCCTTACTTCCTAAACCCTAAGGGTTTTACAAGGTTCAAGATCAGAAGTGTGACGCGTCGATTTTCGGGCTTTCGCCTTGATATTTTCTCTGGGCATCGCCCGGCCGCCTGACTCCTGTGATGCCCGAGCTTGGCTTCGAAAAAGTCGCACTAGCAGCAGCAGGAGTAGTAGAAGTAGTAGAAGTAGAAGTAGTAGTAG